GAAGCCCTTTATATTTAATTTAAACAGTCTCAAGCAAACCTGGTTTGGGTTTCATACATTTGACTCTCCATAACATGGCCAATAATATTTGAATGAATGAATGAATAATTTTATTTCAAGCATGAGCATGACACAATAACAAAACTTAAATTCCTAAACATTATAGAAAACAATATTAACACAGATTACATCCTTTTTCTCTTAACAATGAAATCGAGCTCTTTGCTTGAAAATTTCCAACTTGTACTTTTCTATTATGCATCATTAAAATGCCATTTATTAGGGGATAAATATCCATATAATCTAAACAAGTGTAGCATCAAAAGTTAGTTTCAGAATTTTGATCAAATAAACTGTGTGTGCCGGGCAGACTGGTATTTTTTGTTATTCACTCACACGCCATATTCATTACAATTACAATATTGAGTTTCCTGTCATGGGAGCTGTATGAAACTTGCCTGAAAGAGCTTGATAAAACTTGGGGGAGGGTTTTATCAACAATGTTACACATGCATGTCTGCCAGCACGAGCCCTCACTGCTGTAGAGTTAATGAAGCAACATCTCCATCTCCTTTCCCATTTGGAGCCATCCTGCAGAGATACCGGCGGGATAAGGGTGATAGTTGTTAAAGTAGAGGTTTTTGCTCAAGCCTCCGCGGGGTTTATACAGTGGGTATCAGCTGGAAACATCCCTGCTGAGGAGGATGAAATATGGGATTACGGAGCAGCAGCTACAAAGATGTTGCCTGACCCGACACATTTTACAATCCTGGGATGAAGTTTGTGCTAACCTTACATGTCAACTCGTACCAAGCCACCCTCCACCTCTGGCCCTGACAAAATGCTCTTATACTGAGCTGGTGACGTGCTTTTGAACGGCCAAACGAGGAGAAGGAAAAATACAGTTGTGTCATGGATCGACAATGGCATGGTGTATTTTTTGTAACACTAACCCATCTCAGTAACGCAACTACAGACAAATGTATAGTCATTCCCATCTCCTAAGCTGTTAATCCTGACACTTTGTTGACCAGGACAGTGCTAACCCAATAGCTCGTCTCGCAAAGTTTTTCGCCCGACAAACATCTCATTGTCTGTGTCTGCATGTGTCTTCATTACGTGACCCTGCTGTATTTATGTTGATTTGTGAATCCAGATATGACTAACGACTGCCCAAACAGGAGCTTTATTGGCTTTCGCTATAGCCCAGCCTTTAGTTGCTAGATAGTGGCTATGCGAAAATTTGGCACCAATTTCCCGTCCATGGATGTTTTTTAGGTTGCTCTAATCCGTAATCGCTTGGCTTTCCATAGATACGTATCACAGAATTACAATCTGTATCTAAATTCCCGACATAGAGGACGAACTTTTAAGGACACCACACTCAACGACATCCAGTAACTTCACATTCTTCAGATGATTATGGTCAAATTTACACATTGCATTTTTGAAATTTTAGTTTTCACAACTTTTCTGCAGCCACATTTGACAGATTCCTTAAAGAAACTACACCGTGGAGCTAATGACCTGTAGCTTGGTTTATTGGTACACGCAGCTGTTATAAGTGCTCTAGTACAGAGAGCACAATCAGACCCACTGCTGTTTAACATCAGCTCCTTGGAATGAGTCCACACGTTCCATCACAACACAAGCTCAACCCAAACAATGTCGACTTAAAGAGTCAAAGAGAGATTAACAAAAAACAAGTGAAGCTTATGTCCTGCTGTGTGACACTCAGAAGGACTGCTCATTTGTGTCATAAGACTGGAGTAAAAATCCACAATACATACAATATAATAAGCACGATTGTATACATGCTTCTTCATTATGCTAAAGATAGAAATGTTATACTTCTGCATTATGGTCAAGTTTAGTATCTTTTGCTGTGCTTCTCGTTCCTACTATTCTGTAACTGGTTATGCAACACTGACATTTCCCCACTGTGGGACAAATAAAATGATCTCTTAATCTTAATAAAACACTATTTGACCTGTGAGAACGGCAGACCAGGGAACAAAAAAAACTGCTCTGGTATGCAATATTAGGAGGACTTTTCCCCGATGAAAACATTGCTTTTTGTTCTACATTGTAGGGATTGGGATGTGCCACGCCCACTGAGAAGAGTGCGCATGGCCAAAGAGGATCCAACAGATCCAATTCTCTCCATCATTCCCTCCTCACAATTGTGGACAATTGGAATGGTGGATGCCTGGAGGCCCAGCATTCCTACAGTCTAATCTAGAGAGTTGATGAAGTCCCATTGTGTGCAGCGCGTGGGGGATGTCAGCTCACCAGCGTGGAGACTTTAACGCACTGCGGTGGAGCTTTGGTTTGGACTGGGCAAGTCAATAGAGCTGTCCACACAGTCCAGCTAATTGGCAAACACAAGACACTTTCATTTGTATTTACGGATCTCACTATAATGATTTCAGTAGTCGACAAATCAATGGTGTGTGCTGTTTAGACCAAGTTGCAATTTTTATTGACTCATCACAGAATACTGATCCGTGTTCTCTTGTCAAAGTAAAACCAGTGGCAGTGTCTCAGTGCCAATGTCAGAGGAGTCAGGGGGAGACGTGAAGCCTCTGGTGGAAGAGGATGTACATGACTCATACATGAATCATGTGAGTGTGTACATAGTTAACATTGTCAACACTGCATGTTCAGTCTTATCAAAACAAACTGAGGAGGAAATAAAATACTGAAGGCACTTAACATGATTATTTCCTCCCCAATCATACTGCTTGATGCATGATTCCCTCTCCTTCTCTTCTTAAAGCAACCACATCAGCAGAACAGTGGCACAGTGTTTAGTGCTTGTCCTTCCCGGGAAGAAAATCCTGGTTGGAATCCACCTCCAGACGGGATTTTTCTGTGTGTGAGGAGTTTGCTGTGTTTGCGTAGGGTTCGTCGGAATGTGTGCAGTTTTCCTTTCTACTAAAAATACATACAATTATACTGAATGTTTTGAGTGATTGAATGGATGGCGACGGTCTGAGGCTTCGATGCACCATTGTGTTTGCCGTCTGGTCATCACTGAATGTGGAGTTAATAGAAAAATGTTGGTACTCCAAAAAAATATTCTAAAGCCTTTTGTGAGGTCTGTGACATGTGTATAATGTGTAAATGTGCATAAAGTGTATGAATTGAGCAGTGGATTGCTTGCTTTCTTACATGTGATAACTAGGCTGTCAGGGTTATGTTTGTGTGCTCTCCCCTCTGTGTTCCTGGAGCTGGGCGGAGTGTCTGTAGTCCTGGTCCTGCCCCTGGCTCAACCCTCCACACCTGCAGCCTCATCATCAGCCTCACCTGTTAAAAGCCTGGTTAACCCTTCACTATGTGCCAGATTGTCAGTAAAACTTACAAGGTGCTACTTCTTGGTCTTTTGCTGTATCTCTTGAGATCCTCGTTAATTGTTTTTTCATCCCTTAGACCCAGGTTCGTTTTTTGGTCCAGACCTAGCAATCTCCGTTTTTTTGCCCTGCTTCAGCCTCCAGCCCTGCTCAGTCCTGCCCAGCCACCACTGCTACCTGCTTGCACCTATTTTTGTAATAAATCTTGTAATCATTGTCTGCACGTTTGATTCTCCAGTCATTACAACATTGGCTGATCCTCCACCATAGGGCGATATGGGAAAAGAGTTTTATTGGCACCTTCCCAAAACATCAAAATTAGGGCTGTCAAAATTATCGCGTTAACTCACGTTAATTACAGTTTTTATTAACGCGTTATTTATTTTTAAACGCATTAACGCATGTCCGAATGACCCGCCCATTTATCCATAAGAATATCACTCAGAATGCTGCGTGTGAGATGGCCTCCTCCGTGGCCGCTCTGGTTGTTGTTAGCGGCTGTGAGTGAGTGCAAGCTTTGCACGGGCTGCAAGCATGGATCTGGCTATTATAATAACAGCAGCAAGCGATTGCTCCGTTCACATACTCAGCGCTCTGCGCACTGTATTTTCCCTGGTTCTTGTCTGTCAGGTGCGAGTGTTGCTCGTGTGTGTCTTTGGGAACTAATTATTTTAAAATAGTCTCTTTCAATTGCAAGTTTTGTAATGTGTTTGTTTGATCAATGGATAAAAATAAATGCAATTTAATTAAATGGCACCTTGGCCTGTCTTATACCCGTTTGCCTGCAGGACAGTTCCCTAAACTAACATATCATACTAAAATAGGGTGGGGTTGTTGCAACAATTAATCTACTTAGAAGTTATCCTAAATTACAGCCAGCTAAAACTCGGTACCACAACAAACAAAAAAGTAACGCAATAGTTACTTTTACTGGTAACTAGTTACTTTTATAGTGGAGTAACTCAGTTAGTAAGTCAATTACTTTTTGGAAGAAGTAAGTAGTAACTAATTACTTTTTCAAAGTAACTTACCCAACACTGGTCATTATATTTGATAATCTCATTTAAATTCAATTGGAGTGGATTTGAAATAGAATGTTAAACATGCGATTAATTGTGAGTTAACTCACCATTACTATGCAATTAATCAACTAAAAAAAATTAATCGTTTGACAGCCCTAATTAAAATACATTTATAGAAAAGGAATGCATCTGAAAACGTATCATTCCAAACAATAGAACATTCCATCTGACCAAGCAATAAAGCAGGTGGCACAGGGGAATCCTCCAACTATTGAATATATATTGTTAATGGCAGACACCACATCCAACTCACGAAAGCGTGTGAAGAGGGCCGCGCCTCCAGAGTCCTGTAATCCGATCAGAGGCTAATGATGTCCAAACCGAACACTTTAGATCTATTACAGCTGCGTTTGTCATCACCTCCATCAAAATTAAATTGAAAACCACTTTTGGAGCACTTTTTCTCAGCAGCAGAGCCAATCACTCCTCCATTTGTTCTCATTTCTGTGGGCCCGTGGCTCGAGGGCACGTTCAGAACAGGGAGGGAAAGGACTGACGCAAATCGTGCTTCCATTTTTGTTAGAATTATGTTGTTTGTGTAAATGCAGAATGTTAGAAGACTCACTAGTACAGCACTTCATTGGCTTCATGTCTTTCGTAGCGCACCGTCTCGCACATGACTCTGTGGAAAAAGAAACGACAAGTCAGTACGAGGACAAAGCAAGGCTCAGGATTCTTCACCAAAATGAAATGACAATTGAATTTACACAAGAAAAGACTGACTCAACTTCCTTAAGGAGAGATCACTTGCAGCTTCTCATTCATTCATTCAATCCAACTCCTTTTAAACGATATTTATCATTGATTTCTTTATTTCAGACTTTAAACATGGTTAAAATTAGGATGGGTGATTTTAGTGAAGTAGAACCACCTATGGTTGAAGTGGGAATTTCATTCCGTTTGTCTCCACAATCCATGGCGCAGTGTATTTGAAGGCACACAGTGGTGAAGAACTCAATTTGATTGGAAAAACTATTTTAGGGAAATAATTGTAGTTTGAAAAATCTGCGGATTTGGCATTGCAAAGTAAGTTATAAGACAGAAGTTTGATATTTTCTTGGATGGCAACGAAAACGTCTAGTCTGATTTTGAACAATGTTAAAAACCAATAAGACTGTTACATGTATTCATTAATCAAATGTGTAAATATTTTGACAGAAGGTTTTCCATGACTTAAAAAAACAAACAAAAAAACAATTTGTCATCAGTCATGGGCAACAATCAACTGTTTTATCAGCTGGCTTGTCCCATTAGAAAATGTTATAAAAGTAATATGAATCCGTGTTTTGGCAAAACGGCAGCTTTGTGAAGTACTCTGAGATAACTACTGTTGTTATTTAAGGCTGTACAAAGATAAATGTAATTGAATTGAATATCGGACCACAACATACTGTATAATCTAATTAAATCATTTGCAAACTTTCAAGATGGAGCCCTGTGAGTCACTATTTGACTCTTAGGCCTTAGAGCTGATTGGCTGAGTGCGGTCCTCTCTTTTTCACTTTTCTGTCTGAAAAAGCTGATCTACAGATGAGACCAAAAATACATGCATGTGAAAACTAATGATAGATGCAAACAGTTTCAAGAAATTTACTTTTGTACAGTTAACTTTGTAGTGACTTGAAAGTTGGGTGTCTCAGCTAAACCGATGTCGCAGTGACTGAACGTGTAATAGTAAAGAATAGTACATTGGAATGATGAAGTGGTTTTATTTCCTTAAGTTTTGGACAGGATGAACAGAGAGTCTCCTTTGAATGTGCATGTGAGGCCTGGGGTGGCGGTACAATGCCAGGTTTGTGCGTGAGCTCTCAGGCACATTCACAGGAGCAGCTGATGTTCCTTGTCCTGCAGAAGGACACAACAACACTGAGAATCACTTTACTCTGGATCAAAGGCCCAGTGTCTCCCACCACAGAAGAGTGACTGAGATCAAGATCATAATAACTGTTAAGATCGTCTCCAGTACACCGGCAGACCTAATATTACTTCTGAAAAGGGTACACAAAACAGGTCTTTTCTTATTTGACAGTTTTTATTTTGCAGAACTGTTGAATCAGATCAGACGCATTTGTTTTGAACAGTGGATAAAAAATAAAATATTTGGAATTGATGTGCAGTTTTTGCCCTGTTTTTTTTAGAAATGTACTACACTTATTAAATTATTAAAACTATGTCCGCACACTTCTGTATTCAGCCCAGTGAGAATGAATCTGAGCTTTGATCTTTAATGAAACGTCAGTGGAACATGGTCACATCTACAGCCCTCAAACAGCCTGGACTGAGTGTGTAAATTACATGTATTTATTTATTTATTTATTGTGGATGGCCCCTTGAGATGAATCATCTCTTTTTCGAGGGGGTCCGAAAGTAGGGCAAAAATAAATACTCCATTTTGCATGTTAAGCCCCTTTTAACAAGTGTTTTGTAAATTAAATTAGGGGTTGACTAATTTTAGCACTTTATTCTATTTATTTTTAATAGTAATATTATTAGTCTCACAACAATGATACAACTCAACTACACATAAATTGGCAATATTTTTTTCATATCAGAGTGGGTTTTTTTTCCCTCAGGTAGTAACCACTTCCTCAGAGTGGTCATGTGATGACGACAGCGTCATCAACAGTCTAACTTCTTCAGAACAAAACCCCAGGTGTTAGTGAGTGTAAGAAAAGCCCCCTCATCCCGGTTCATGTTTCTGACACTGTATTTCCATTGCCTCTATAATCCTCAGCCTCTATGTTATTGCAGAAGCTGGACTGCAGGTGGCAGAAGTCGGACCGTAGAAGGTTCTGCCTCTGGTGGTAGGAAGACCTTGCAAAAAAATTGTAAAACAGCCGACGTCATGTCACAGGAACATCATGTGACCATTCTGAGGAAGACTGTGTGCCAGCCGTCAAAACTGTCAGATACACACACAAAAACAACTTTAAGAATTATAAAACTAAATGAACAGCTGTGCTTCATGTTGTAACACAGTTCTACAGGTGCCTACGCAAAGCACCGTCTGATTAGTTTAGTTTGGTCTTTTTTTCATATTTAAAAAAAATAATTTAGAATCACATTAAAGTCTGCATCTGTTCCCCGGATATGTTCCATAATCTACAAAGTGAGAGCCATTTTTGATCTGTTATTAGTTTTGTTGAATAAAAGTTGAATGTTTAAGTTTGTATTAATTCAATACAATTATATTTCAATTCAATAATTCACCAATATTTTAACTTTTGCTCTTTATCTATCATCAGCCTCCTTGCCGACTAAACATTGGTATCAGCCTTGAGTAAAGTACAGTAGTCGACCCCCAATTAAAACTAGAACGCTTCTTTAGAAAATAGTCTACTCCACATGAGTCATTTTAATGAGTAGTGCGTCTTTTGCAGCCACTTCACTGATGCTACTACACCAAATGTTCCACCAGAAATTATTTTGGTTCAAAGGGAGAGTTGAATCGAAGTGTAGTCTACAGAGATTACTCTAGCGTAAAACATGGAGGACACTTCACAAACATCCGTGGGCGGACGACCCGATTACCCAGCACTCACAAACGCCACACTCACAATATTATGAAGTCGCTGCTTTAAAGCCATAATATGATTTAAATAAAGAGTCATGATTATTGTGAGAAAACATTATGACTTATTACTTTAAACACAGTTGTTCCCTCATCAAAAACAACCCAAACGCATTTACCCACCCCTTTAATCTGAAAGATCTAACTTCAAACTCTTGACACTGTGATGAATCCTCAGATTGAGGACATTAATGCCTTAAAATTTGTTTTAGAATTTCTTCTGTCAAATTGCGTTCTTTCTAACTGCCTTAAAACAGTTTTAGATTTTTAGGTCTATGTGGCAGACATTTCAAGTTCCTACGACTAGATGAACATGTATTTGGACATTGTCCAAATACAATTTGTAACAGGCTTTTGAGACAATTTTTTCTTCAATTACACAATGAGACAATAGCATCAAAATGGTGCTTGTAAATGTGAAGAGCTAGAGAGGACTTTGTGAATGTGGGAATGTTTTGGGTGTTTTCACTTTTTTGACACAAAACGTGTTTGCAAATTCTCATCCTGTGCGGCTTTCTGGTTGGGAGTTAAAGCTGATGGAGGAAGGGGATTGGCTGCCGAGAGCTTGGGGACATTCCACTGGGTCTAAACTGGGAGGAGGGTGGGAGGGGGCTTTGGGGGTCATTCAGTGGAATGTTCTAGTTTTCGGGTCATGTCCTGCCGCACAGTATAATCCACATGCACATAAGGCATGCTGGGAACAGTTTGGGCTCGGAAAGTGAAAGGAGCTGGTGGGAGTGGTGTTGGGGCCAAGAGCCAGATGAGAGATGTGAAAGGTGGGCGCGGTCCTTGTGTGTAGGCCCAAGGCATGTCTGGATCGTAAAGCTCGGTTACATAACTTTCCTTTTGGAGCATCACTGGACAGACTTCCTGTGAAAACTCTGTTTCTCGATGTTGTTTTTAAGATTTGGAGATTTGGAATAGTGTTACATTTAGTACTGAAACATCCCCAGAGTGTGACATATAAATGGTTCTTTTCACTTGCAGATGGTGATGAATACCGTGCCAACACCGAGAGCTTGTACTTTCTGACAAGATTAAGGAGCGTATACTAAATTTTGTTACGTGAAATAAATGCATGGTATGTGAACAACTTACCAGATGATTTAAAAATATATATAATTCATTCAGAAAGTAATGATCAATTATGTGGAAAAAAGAGAGTGATGTCCTCAGCACAGAACAAGCAGTGAGGTGTTGAGTGTCTTGTCTGGATCAGCGTTTGTTTGTGCACGGGCTTTCTGTTGTATGAGTGAAAAGGGTAGGAACTAAATTTGCAATGTTCAACGCCCATTTCAAACTGTGGTTTATATATTGCAGAAAATGCAGAGAAAGCCACATATCTCGTCCTTTTCAATTTCAATAAATTGAGCAAGGCGCATGTAAATCAGATCCTTATGATTCAGGTGTGAAAATCCAGTCTATTGGGGATCTGTGGTCGGGACCGGTAACCACAGACATGTTGATAATTGCAACCAACATTTCTATATTTGGCACCGCCCTAATAGAATGTGTGCTAACAACCCATTATCTGACATTGATGTCCTCAATATTGAAATCAAGATTGTTTAATGAGTTCCTGGGAGAAATACACATAGACAGCTCCACACCACACACACAGAGACACAGACACACACCTTAGCTGGTGCTCTCGGAGGTTGGACAGGGCCTCCATCCCATGCAGGTAAGAGTAGACAATCTCCAGGTCCTGTAAAAACAAAGAAATGTTTGATTAATCAAAAGAACTCAGGTGGGTCACATGGCCACAGCTTTTGTAACTCGTCTGGCTATAATCACTTAAGTAGCCAAAGCAAGAATGTCTGGAGCAGAGAGTTACACAACAATCATTCACAGTGAAGTCTGCTTCAGAAGCAATGGAAACATTTGGAAACATAATATGAACATTTTGTTATTGTCTGTGTCCATGAAGCAAAGTGAAAAGAACATCATTACCTCACTCCAGTATGTGTCTGATGCATAGATGTACTGTAAACCTGCACCGTGACAGTGTTGTCACGGTGTAATAGAGGTAGCATATTTGTGTATTCACATTAGGTGAATAAAACCATAAGCTTTGTAGTCTGTGTCACAATAATTAATTTAAATTAAATGTAGTTTTGTAAAGCCCTAAATAACAACAGTAGTTATCTTGGGAGACTTTATATGCAAAGATAAAAACACAGAGCCATTGGTCCATAAGGGGCGGATGACCAATGTCAATCAATATTGACAGCTGATACAGTGTATGCTCTTCAATAATAAGCTTGAACTATATAAACCCATTGTTCAATAAAATATGGCACAAGACTATTTAGTCTGACATCTATCCATGGATTCGGGCTTCTGATTGGAATCAGGGATGAAAAAACAAACACGATTACATATGGTTGAAAAAAAACTGCTAATGTCCCATCAGCACAGTTCTTTACAGGAACAAGGCTCTGGGACGTCTTGGTTGCAGAGCGCTTTGGTAAATGGATGTAGGACAGGGAGGTGTGGCTGGAGATCGTAGCTGGCAACACGAACAAAGTTTAGAATCACTACATGACGTATTAAAGTACACTTCGTCTGGGTCACATGTTTACATCTTGTGACTCTGTTTAGTCTGTATCGGCTTCTAGTGGTCATCTGAATTTCCCCTTGTAACTATGGTTGTAATGCCTTGTATTGTTTCTATCTTATGTTAAGCCTTGTATTTTTTGCCTTGTTGCATTGTGTATGAACTGTGCTGTACAAATACAAATAAACTTGCCTTGCCTACCTACCTTTATAGTCAGTTACTTACAACAAAACACATCACTGAACAAAATGATTTTTTTTCCAGTGTAATTTGAATCAATTATATTTTAAAAAGCATTTGGATAATGATTATTTAAACCATGTCCTTTATTGGAATATTCATATTAGGCAGGTGACATTAGCCTGGCCAACAAATACGAAATGAAATAAGTATGATGATATGGCAGGACCAGGCTAAGTTGACATCTACCGTTTATCTTGCACCTATAAACAATAATTTGATCAACTCCAACTCATTTTCCTTTAGTTTCAATTCAAACAGAACTGAACGAATTCTGTCCTGAAAAGATACCAAACCCATAGTAAATGCATCAAGTAAAAAGTAGATGCACAAACATGGCCAGCAATGCGAACTTTCCACAAATAAACCACTGGATATCAGTCTTTTCCTCTCCCCCTTCTTTAAAATATGTTTTGAGAGAAGAATATATAAAAAATCTTTTCAAAATAATCAGAGTTTCCCTTTGGGCTGCAGGAGTAGGAAGTATGAGCAGCAGTGTGCGTGCGTGAGTATGCCTGCGCGTGTCTGTGAGGTGTGACTGTAGTCATTTACACAAGGATCACTGCCGTTGCACAGACATCTAGTGACGCCTACTGGTGGAGCCTGGGCACTGCACACACTGCTGCAGTTTAACAGCCTCCAAATACAAGCTACAATAGAAGTTGCAATTTGTAAGGACAGTCATTATTTATAGACAATTTTCCTCTGCAAACATCCAGATAGATTGAGTCATTATGTAAGAAAAAAACACTTCAAACATTTAGATTCTGCAAAAACACCAGGGAGCAGGATCAGTGCTAATTAGTTTTAATAGTTTTAATAGAACAAGAAAGTCCAGTCTAAAAGCACGGTCGACAAAAAAATAAATGAATAAATACTTAATTATTGTGTATTGAATGCAGTGTCCCTCTTATACTATAAACTATAAACTATATACTATATACTATATACTATAAACGTGTAAACTTAACAATTTGATTTGAGTTTTCTGTTTTGGAAGAGGAAAATGTTTAAACAGCAGAAAAAATTGACATTTATCAAAAGTTGCTTCAAACCAAAAGAAACAGTCAGGTCCTGGTCTAGTCCACTCTCGTGTAAACCAGACCAGGTCCTGGTCTAGTCCCCTCTCGTGTAAACCAGACCAGGTTCTGGTCTAGTCCCCTCTCATGTAAACCAGACCAGCTCCCGTCTCATGTAAACAGGACCATGTCCTGGTCTAGTCCACTCTCGTGTAAACCAGACCAGGTCCTGGTCTAGTCCCCTCTCGTGTAAACCAGACCAGGTCCTGGTGTAGTCCCCTCTTGTGTAAACCAGACCAGGTCCTGGACTAGTCCCCTCTCGTGTAAACCAGACCAGCTCCTGGTCTAGTCCCCTCTCGTGTAAACCATCCAGCTCCTGGTCTAGACCGATGCGAGGAGTCACAAACCACATCCTTTCATTATCTCTTATTTATGGATTTGTTTTTGAACACACCCTTAACTTGTATCAAATAACCAACAACCAGTCACACAGAATCTTGTTCAATTATGTTTACGATTCAGACACAGTCCTCCTGTGGACTCACCACCTGCAGGAGGATCAGTGAGGGGCTGGTGCTCAGTGAATTGGGTGCAGCTCTGACTGCCACCCCCCATCCAGAAATGAATTAAGGAGAAGAAAATGAAATTCTTGACTCATGCAAAGGAAATCTACGGATAACTTTGTCATTACAAAAAACAGGATCATTTTTCTATCCATCCATACTTGGTTGACAATAGGACCATAGTTTGCACTAGTTCTTAAAAAATGCACACAAAACAATCAGGGAATTGCCTTAATTGATGTTACAGCCTTTAATGTTTTGACATCCTTCAAATATTCATGAAAATCTATAACTAATGTAAAAGCTCAGGTGTATCATAGAAGTAGCAGTAATGCATCTAGTCTCCAGTAGATGGCGGTCTTGTAACCTCCCACAATCCCACAGTGACATCAGTGAATAAAAAAGCACTCTTAACACAGAACCTTCAATTGTGGCTTGACTTTTTGCAAATATTTCACATCGACATATGGAAGGAATGTGACGACCCCAGCTTTTCCATTCTTTAGACCCTGCAATTTAGAAGACTGTGCCTCAGCCTCAACACAACAAGAACGCATCATAAAATGAATAGAAAAGGCAAATATTGCTCTATGTGCCATCTCTCAAGTTGCTGCTTTGTGTTCAATTCAATCCAGTTAAGACATTTACATACATTTCAGCTTTGGAAAGGTATATATTTTTGAAAGGTAAAAATAGTATACCTTCATAATTTTATTAATTAGATAACTAAGAAAATGAGTAAAAAATGGACGGCATTATAGTACATTAACTAGTATACACAAACTTGTACTGACGTATGTTTTGTGGACGAGATATGGGAAAAAGTACTTTCACTTTACCGCTTGCATACAGTCCAGACTTCCCTCTCCACAATTACCTTGAAAGACATGCGGCTTTCTTAAATCAGGACTTTGAAAACTGTTCATTTTTTGTTTTCCATAAGCAGAACAGCCCAAAGAGGAGATTGACGAATGAGGCCTTACTAGAAGCTAAGCATTGCAAGCCGGGGTTTGCACTGTGATGAGAGACCTCGGGGAACAGGTCCCACAGTGTCCCACAATCCAGGTCCCACAGTGAGATGCTGCCAAACTGTTGTGGTGTCCTTAAGCAAGACCCTTCAAATTCCTCAGTAGGAATCTGGTGTGTGCGTGAATAATTGTCTATACCCCAGGGCAGCTGTGGCTACAGGACCACAACAGTGTATGGAGTGACTGGATAATTAAGTTTAGGAGTCATTCAAATCTTACTCCCGCCCCATAAAACATAAATTCAAATACATGCTAAAGTTAGAAAAAATTATATTATTTTAGTAGAGCGATATTGTTCACTTAGTTTGTGCTGTCTGCTCCTCATTCCTACTGTTCCGTAACTGGTGAAATTTCCCCACTGTGGGATGAATAAAGGATCTCTTAATCTTAATCTGAAATTTACTGCTTGCATCTTCCCTGCTATGTCAAAGATTGAAGATCGCCCTGCTGCATGTGTAGAGACTTATGATGAAGAATGTGAAAAGGCATTCGGCTTGTAAACCCCGAAATCCTGATGACGAGCAGAAGGAAACTGGCTGATCGAAGCAAGCTGATCACCCAACCCTAAACTAGGCCACGCCGATGGGGCCAACTTCCACAATTGTGTAATCAAAATTGGGCCAAAACAAGCCCACTATTCAACACTAACGCTTGCTGGTGGCATTTCTTATCAGACTTCAGCTACGTTAATCCCTCTTCCTTCCAACTCCGACATAATCCTTCCCAGAATACAGGTGGCCCCTGCAACAGCATAGAGAAAACATTCCAAGATGTAGTCGTAGATAAGAAAAAAAGCTAAAGGAATCATAACAGAGTGGCGGCGTTCCGAGCATTCCACAAAGCTCAGATGGAACTTCCTCCGTGCTTCTAAACAATGACATCGTTTGAGCAGAAAAATGTAGTCAAACTAGAACAGGACTTTCCACCAAAGGATGCAAATACAGACGTTTGGTTAGAAGCACTGCTATGTTGGAGTATGCTAATGTACAAATGCACTGTACAGGCAATTGGTTAGAAGCACTGCTATGTTGGAGTATGCTATTGTAGACTTTATTAGTGTGAGCCTTCATGATGGATTAATGAGAGCAAAATGTATTAAATCAACATATACAATACTTCTAATACTATGGTTATAGAAGGGACATTGTATTTTGGTCCTTAAAACTAGAGTACATAACCAACCTTATCATAAATAACACATCAAAAAGGATCATGTTCATATCAACCATGTGCTGTCTTTGACTTTTTAGAATTTTTTTATTGTTTGCACACAGAGGAAGCCCTGTGAGTCACTATTT